TAAAGTTTTGAGAGAAGAAAAATTACAATAGAAAGTAGCCATATCTCTTTTTCTACCAAGAATGTCCCTATCAAAAGAAGTAAGAGAATAAATGAAATGTAGCATGTTTGTAGTAGCCATGTAGCATGATAAAGCTACCTAGGATGTCGAAACAGACTGGCGTGTGATGAATTTCGAGTGACAAGAGACATGCTATCTAGGGATAAGTCAGCATTATTCAAAATAGGATTAAACTGATATCAGGCCGTTAGCATCAAAAGGTTACCATCAGATAAATGTTCGTTTACTTTTAAAGCCCCCACATGAGCATAGTGTGCTGGAGGTGACAATAGTTGATGTGGAAGCAGAATGATTTGGGGTGGATTGGCGTAGCAGTACTTATGTAAGGAAAAGCCTTTGACGGATAAAGTTTGAGATTTCAAAATGATCAGCTTTTTTTTTTTTTTTTTTTTGCCATGCATAATTAAAAAGTAGCTTACTTAAAAAAAAAGAGAGAAAATTAGGTAACTAATGGGTCGGAGTTAGTCCCTCGTGATTTGACAAAGTGAATCATGCAAAATAGTTCCTAAAGGACTCATTCTGTTTATTACTAATGCCTAAAATGGCATGTGATTTTTTAGCGGCCTCTTGAGCAAAGGAAACAAGAACAAATACAACTAGGATTGAATGGAAAAATCAGCTTCGCATAGAATCATTTAGAGTTTCCAGAAATAATCTACAATTGATGGTGTCAATGACAACCACAAGCTTTAAGGTGTCATTGAATCCTACTAAAAGTTCAATAGGATCATTTGTTCCTTTATAACTTTTTAGTGGAGGTGCCTGGAATCGACACCTCTATGATATTGGTGGAGAAAACAAAAGAAATAAGGAAGATTTAATGTGAGATGCAAATGTCAATGAAAATGATCCCCTATCAAGTATGTTTTCCCTGATGGGTGCTTCTAACGAGGAATTATGCTTGAGTGCCATTCACAGATCTAACTTTTGCAGGATTTGCCATTATTGACTGAAGGGGTATCTACATTTGGGTCCCAAATTATTTTCCTCTGCCTTGAAAGTTCTCAACAAAAGCACCAAAAGATAGGAACGCATGAATAATCCCTAGATGTTTAAAATTGGGCATGAACCATAAGTGTTCAAATTTCAAAATACAAGATTTGATGAGCTAGAAAACTTCCAATAAGAGAACAGCACAAAAAATATAACATAAAAGACTGTTTTTGAGCAATCTAATCAAAGGACCAACATCTTTTTGAAGATTCTTGGAAGAATCTTATAATGATTGAAGCAGGTATTCTTTACAAGAGCTTGATTCCTTACTGCAATAAAAAAGGAAGCATTGAAAAGAAAAAATTAGTAAGCAAGCATCTTCTCCAAAAAAAGATGACGGGCCTATTTATATTAGCCACAAAATGGGATGGGGATTCCTGGAATGCTTAGACATATAAATGCATTGTGGTTACCGGTCAGCAAGTGTCAACTGTCACGATATCCAAGAATAAGGTGGCAGACGACAAACAAAATGGTAATGAGGCCACATGTGTAGTCTACATAGAAAGGTTGTAGTAATGTAACCATTAAAATGTTTCAGAGGCTATAAAATCATAAGCAAGGATAACTTACAGCAAGTGGTGGCTGTGGATGTAAAACATAAGGATCTAAGGCAGGTCAAAACCTATTATATGAAGCAGTCAGCGACAATAGGAGCATTAATGCGATCTGACCAGGATAATCTTAAAATCATGTTGGCTGCACAGTCAACCCTGCTGGTGCCCAAATGATGTAAGATGAGGACCACTTAGACAAGTGCAGAAATGAGGCATTGCAACAATTAATCATAATTGAAATTTCACTCTCATAATCAAGATGTAGCACCCAATCTTGAGAAATAGATAAAATTTTGGCAATTTTAAAATATACCTCAAATTTCACATCCCCGAAATTCAATCAAATCAATTGTATAAAATTTCCCGTGTTAAATCGATCAATTTGATATATAGCACTATATATGAATTATGAATATAATGGGGGATATAAAAATAATAAGATATTGATATAGTTAAATTAATTAAACCCTTAATTAAATTTCTAAACCCCATTACTGTTCCCACCAACTTATTCATGCTATTCTCAGCGGTATAATGAAATCAAGGGCTGGGATTTATTGGATCAGAGTTAAAAGGGTCACACTGCCTTCATTTCTCTCTATCGCATTTGCTTCCCCGAGCTTGCGGGGTTCTGTGATCGGTTCTTGTAGCATGGGCTCAAACGACAGCAATCGTGTGACTCTCAGGCAGCCGCAACAGCAATTTAGGGTTCTGGGGAGAAAGCAAGAAACAGGAAACCCTCTTCCAAGCTAAATGGGACATTCTTGACATTCCTACCCTTCCCTACATTTTCATTTTGATGTTTACCACGATCGTTTTAATGGATAAAAAGGATTCATGTAGCCGACCCCACGTAGTGGGATTAAGGCTTTGTTGTTGTTGTTGTTGTTGTTATTTGCCACGATCGTTGCATTTTCTTCATTTCCCGTGTAATGGGAGGCGAACTTGTGTTGGAGGCTACGAACTTGGTTTATGGGCTTCCATATGGGCCATTAGCAAGAAATCACGAATAAAAGGGAATGGGAAGGTTGGGGGGGGGAGGAAGAGAAAACTTGAGCTGATTTGTAGGGAGAATTCATGCAGGGCAACCCATTTGAGGTAAATATTAACATGTATCTTTATGTGCAAGTTAAATTAAGTATTGAGATAATAATTTATGAATATCCTAAAATGTTTATGAATTTAAGATTGTTTATAATGGGTGGCGAGCTAGAGACGAACGTCGGGAAACTCATCGTGTTGTTGCTTCATCAATTCAGAAAAAATAAATATATGTTAAATTAAGAATAATAATTTCCTATAGGATTTTCTAGATCACTTCCTTGATATAGGATTATTGGCGAATACCTATGAATGTTATATGTATGCCAACATTGAATAAACACTCATAATGACTATAATTTTCTTAGAATATAGAAGAAATGAGCATATTATGATATGTTGCTTGTAGGTATACATATCAGGTGAATTATGTATACGGTTGGAGCTGCTTATGATTGCTTGTTACATGAATTATGATTAAAAAAATATCATAAGTGATGTTATAGGTAGGCTATTACATGAACACTTACAAATACAGATGATAGTAAATGATGACATTCTATACTCTTAACATTCAGATTGAGACAAAACTTTGAGAATAGTTGGGATCATATGAGAACGAAAAGTAGAGAACCATTGGTATCAAGTGAGCTATTGATAACTACTATGTTTGAAGGGGCCCAACAATTATCAATATTAAATATAGCCTTCAGACTGGATGGTGACCTAAATGATATAAAATGACATGGAAATAGTTGAAGCATATATAATTATAATTGACATTCCAATAATTAGATTTATGAATCTTATTAATATGTTTATGATTATATATGAATGGATGAAATACATATTTTATATAGCAGTCATAATTTCCTACATTAAATGTCTTTTTAATACATGTTTTACACGATTATAGCATATTGTGATACGTGTCTTAGGCATGTACATAAGCTATATATGAGCATGCTGACTTTCAGGAAGGGTTAAGGAACACCAACATGAGTTGTCAGGTGTGAAGTGTACAACTTTTGCATAGTATAGTTTTGAAGGGTGTACAGACTTTTGGGTATGTATTTGATTATGTTAGATTTAGCAGATCTATATAAATAAATATGTTTTGGTGATATGAATTTTTATGCTTCTAAATATCTGAATATGAAATGATATGATATATATTATGAATGGTTGAAATGATTTAGTTATACTAGTTCATCATACACATGGTTCTGATTATGCAAGTTAGGATGAGTTGCTGGTAAGAATTTAATCTGTCCGAATCTTCTATCTCTGTCGCTCCAAGGTTGACCTTATAAGAGAGGTCAATAGGGGTGTGACACTAAAAGAGTAATTAACCGTGAATATTAGCATGGGAAGTCCCAAATCAGAAATATGTAGTCCTACAACAAGGGAAGAATATTTGAAAAAGTACTTTATAACCTCTCCCCAAAAAAATTCATCTATGAAGGAAGCTTCGTTTGCAAATGTGACTCGATGGACACATTTAACATTTTTCTGCTAGAGCATCATAGAATGAGATGCATTTTTTCCCTTATCAGAAAAGGATTAGAAACTATCAAATGACAAACAACAACTCGATGAAGTATTCAAGCAATTTAATAAAAAAAAAAATTTAATTTCAGGATAAATTTCCAAAGATTGGAAAATGGTGCCCTTAATAAAAACGCTAAACTCCAAGAGCTATCATACAATTTCCGATAAATTAAACTGAGAAATTCCATTTTTAAGCCATAGCAATGGTTAGTGAGAGTATAATAAACTGAGAAATTCCATTTTTAAGCCATAGCAATGATTAGTGAGAGTATAATATCAGTGATAACATAGGCATTTGATATCAAGTAAAACAGCTAACAAAGGGGGATTTCCACCATCTTAATATACCAACAGCTTCAAAATTACAATAATTTTGAGAAATCTCAAACTTTAAACCGAAAATCTACACATCCAATGTCCTATAAAGTTTCATTAAACTAGAAAGAAAGTAGTTGCGTTATAAATTGCATCAAGGAAAAGTAAACCATTTTAAGAAGCTGAACTCCCACACTATCCAAGAATCCCTCCAAAATGTGTGCCAATTCCAATAAACTATATTCATATAAAAGTTGAATAAACAAAAAATAGCATCTCATAGCATAGGTAAGCTCACTGCATGGAATTAGTAAAAGTACTTGAATCTGCACACGTATGAAAAGAGAATCAGCAATCATTAGGATATCTTTCTCTTTCAAAACAAAAATAAGTCAGAGAAGATAAGAGCATTTCAAAAGACATTGGATACAACAAAAAAGATGGAAAGATAAAAATCTAACTTCCAAAAGAGCAAATAGCTACCTCTCGGAGTCCTCATAGGCGCCAAAGCCAACCCCAGAGGTTTTTCTAGGATCAACAACAAATAAAAACACTAGAACTCCAATCAGTAAACTTAATAATGCCATCATGACGAAGGCAAACCTCCATCCAGGGATGCCCCAATAATCCTGCCCAGCCATAATTGTTGCCACTACACCCCCTCCTATGCCTCCAACCGAACCTACAAGGTTCAACATGCCAAATGCTGCACCTCGTGAGCCATCCATATAACTATCAGCAATGAACGATTGGAGCGCTGGTATCACAATGGCTAAACCAAATCCATTTATTGCTCTCCAAAACGCCACTTGCTGATAATGTTGACTAACTCCCACCGCAGCTGTTGATAAGGACCAGAAGGCAGTGCCCAAAGCAAGGACAGATGGGCGGTCATAGTGAAGAGCCAATACCCCCGCCAATGGAGAAGATAATGCCTTGGCAAAATTTCTTATGAAAGTAAGATATCCCAGGTCGGTTGGACCAGCATTAAAAGCTTGGCTTACTTCTTTGTAAACTGATGGAAGAAGATTTTCATCAGCACGCTCCATTATTGATGTCATGTTGATCAGAATAAGAGATATGGATATTCCAAATATCTTCTTTTGTCTGGAACAGTAAAGAGAAAACTGTTAAGAAGAAAACAAAAGCATCGTAGGAGAAACAAGGAAATAAACAGAAGCACATGGCTTGCTCAAACAAGAAAGTTGCCTTTTATACCAACTCCAGCCATCCAATTTCTCTACTACAATCTAGCTGAGAGCAGAGGGAAGAAAAGAAATAATTTAGGTTGATGGAAAAGAATAAGAAGAAAGAATATAAACTCTTTTATTTTTTATTGGGAGTTTTAAGAGAGAAGAGAAAATTATTTTTTTATTCTTGATTGGGAATTGAAAGAAAAGAAAGATATGTTGTAACTAATTCGAAAAATATATGATTGGATTGAGAAAGAATTAACTTTTATTATTTTATTAGAATGTGGGTAGCACCTTTTTTATTAAAATTATAAATTCTCTTTATTTTCTGCGCTCATTTTAGAGAGAAAAAAATTTATTTATATAGACAATGCAAAAACTTTAGCGATATTGATGTATGCAGCCTTCACCCTGCCTTGCTAAGAGGTTATAGCAACAATTCGAACAAGTAACATTTAAGCCAAAATTTAAAGTTGCTCAAAGTGCCCCCTCTTTTATAATAACATGCACCTATGTAACAAAAGATTGATTTAAAAAAATAATAAAAAGTTTAGATGTGTACCACTCAATTCTTATGGATTTACATATCTAACACCTAAACTTCAATTTTTATATATGACACCTGTCTATGCATGAAAAGGTGTAAATTTCTTTTTAAAATTTAAAATAGCAGTACTTTTTATGTGATATGAAAGAATTGAGTGGTATTAATGTAAAAATTAGAGTTTAGGTTTTAGATATATAAATACATAAGAATTGGGTGGTATGTATGTAATACACCAAAATAATAATATGGAAATGGACATGCACATGAGTTAAAGTACAATAATCTAATGCCCAAAAAGTATTTACACAACAACAACAACAAACCTTTATCCCACTAAGTGGGTTGGCCACATGAATATTTTTTCTCCATTGCGTCTTATTGAGTGTCATATTTTTATTTAATTCTAATAAATTAAGATCATTTTTTATATAATATGGCCAAGTCTTTTTAAGTCTACCTATGTCTTTCTTAACATAAGTCAAATCCAAAACAACTACTCTCCTAACCGGATCATCAGATGGTCAACGTTTAATGTGGCTAAGCCATCTAAGACGACTCTCACTAATCTGGTCCGCCACTGGAGTTACACCAACCCTATCGTGGATATATATTCATTTCGCATTTTGTATACAAGTGTCAAGCCACACATCCACCTAAACATTCTCCAATCGGTAACACTTAACTTTGTTTTATGGTTACCTTTTAAAGACCAACATTCTGCACCATAGAGCATTGCAGGTCACACCGCTATCTTATAATTTTTTTTGTTTTAAGTCAAAGCAGTACTTTTCTATCACACAATAGGTCTGATGCTTTCCTCCACTTCAACCAACGAACCTGAATTCTACAAATAACTCCCCATCTATATCACCATCACTTTGAACAATAGACCCGAGATACCTGAAACGTTAATAGTTTAATAACTCATTGTTACAACTCTACCACCAGAGCTACTACTACTAAAATTTAGATCTACTCAAATGAAGGCCTTTAGACTCTAATGTAGAATCCATAATTTGACCCGAGATACCTGAAACGTTAATAGTTTAATAACTCATTGTTACAACTCTGCCACCAGAGCTACTACTACTAAAATTTAGATCTACTCAAATGAAGGCCTTTAGACTCTAATGTAGACTCCATAATTTGACACTTTCCTAAACTCTTTCTCTATTCTTATCCACAAGATGGATATCATAAGAGACAATCATACACCAAGGTAAATCCTCCTATAAATGTCCAGTAAGAGCATCCATAACTAAAGCAAAAAGAGATGAGCTTAAAGCCAATCCCTGATGTAATCCAACTGGAAAAAGAAAATACTTGGCCAATCCTCCTTTTGTTCAAACACAAGTAGCAGGTCTAGTACACATATCCTTTACAACTCCATGACAAAAAATCTGGCTCTCCTATCTAGTCAGAATTCTAACAGGGTTCTATAAAGTGCAACCTTAATATAATTTATAAAACAAGAAAACAAAAATGGCAGTTACTAAATCAAGATAAACAAACTCGCTTGTGCTCCTTCTTGTTCCTTCGATCAGCTGAAAACAAACAAAAGAACTAAAAAAAATGCCACTGCAAGAATGTAGAAAAAAGGAAGAGGACACAAGAGAGTCAATATCACTGTAATCCTCAGAAATAAGTAATCTTACAGTAAAAATTTATCAGAATTATTCCAACATTTGTTTGGTGTACATAAGATACTCTGTTTCGTATGTGATGTGATGAAGTCAATAGAATCCAAAGAGCAGAGGGAGGATCAGGTTTTTGCTAGATTAGAAAAAAATGCCTAAACTTGCTTTTGTAAAAACACAAAAAATAAAACACTGGTATCTTTAATTTTCAAGCAAAGATCAAAAACATCATATACTTTGCATCCATACTGAAGACAGTAATCAACATTAGATTGCAAGCACGCCATAAGAGGCCCCGCAGCTCGTAATATTATCTAACAATTCGTCCAATCATCAATACCTATTCGCCATCCATTCAATCAATACCACATGAAAAATCAAAATCTAACAATCCTGGAGCACCAGATCAAATCAAGTCCACTTCCAAGCAGTAGAAGAACTTACCTCATTATTGCGGATGAATCCGGATAAGAAACCCTAGAAGAAAAACTTCCCCTGTACCGCATCCGGGATCGCAGGAGTCCACACCCCCACCACTCTCGTCCTCGCAAAGCGACATTCACGGATGCGCATTAAAAAACCAAAACAAATGACAATTGAACGGAAAATAACGCAGGGGAAGATTGCTTCTTCCTTCATTTTCAATTTTCTTTTTTTAACGAAAAAGATTTAGTCTTTGGTCTGCAGTCAGGCGATGAGAGCGAGATCGGACTTCGGGAGGCGAGCGGAGATTAGAAGTACATTTGGGGTCACGTGATGATCAGGATGATTTTATTTTGTTTTTGCATATGGTTTGTTTTAAAAATCTATTAATTTTTTAGCAGGAATATATTTTAAAAAAATTAAATTTATTTTAAGATGAATGAAATCTATATTATTCATATATTATATTTATTTCAAAATAAATTTAAAAACTATAAAGCCATTTTAATTAAGTTTCATAAGAATTTTTTTATTTGGAATTTCTTTTTTTTTATATATTTATCTATATATTTAATTATATTCATTTTATATTATTGTTGTGCCTTAGAAAATTTACAATGGTAGAGTGGAAATTTTAATGTTTTACCGTTGCATAAAGATAGCAAGATGAGGCACTAGAATTTTTTATATGGAAAATTTATGGAAAGACAAAATCGCGAAGCTTAGCCTAATTAAAGTAATTCACTATGTTTACAGGTACATAGATAAAATTTTCTCATGAATTAGAGAATATGGAATTGGATGCTAATATTACAAAAGTAAAATAGTATTTCGGTTGTAATAAAAGCAATTAGGCTGTAATAAATATAGTTGATCATGAAGTTTGTAGTTGGTGACTAGTTTACAAAGGTTGTGTGAGTTATAACAGCAGTAATTGGTCATATTGGTCGTAGTTGAAAGTTGTAGTAGTAGTTGACCATATATATCGTAATTAGTGGCTAGAGTCCTCTCAGAACAGAGATATAGTTTTTACACAGGACACTGCATTTTTTAAGTATACAACATAAAGAAAGATAAAGGTGTTATGTAGAACTGTCATATTCTGACTACAACAGTCGCAAGCAGTAGTCTCCAGTGGATGATAATCGATGGTAGTAGGGGTTTTGACTGTGATCAACAACTACAAAGGCTGGAGGTTATTGTTGGGACTTTAATATAGTATTGTACGATACAACAGTATTTAGTGTACGATGTTAATAACCAGTGGTTACCTACGACAGCTAACAGAGACATCTGACAATGGTTGATGACGATCGACGAACGGTGCTCGTCAATAGTCGACAGTTACAGAGGAGTCATCATCTTGTCTCCAATACACTTATTACATTACAATCATATTTGAGATACAAAGTTAGTAAGCAGGAATTGCCTCCAACGGCGGCAACCAACAACGGTAGATAATGACCAACAGGCGGTGGTTGTTAATGGTTGGTGGCTACGATGGTTAGAAGTTATCGTCAGGTCATCAATATAGTTTTTGCATGTTATAGACGTCTTTAAGATATGCTATTTGCAAGCAGGGGTAGCTAGCGACAAGTGGTGGTTGATGATACACAACAGCTACGAAGGGCTAAGGTTATCAGCTAGTTTTCAATACGGTTTTATATGTTCAAGTAAAAAAAAAAGAAGATTTCACCTTCTAAAGAATTAGTCACCGTAAGAAGTTAGTTGAAAGCACCAAAAGGATAATATTTCGAAACTTTTATATATAAGATAAGCTGCAAAATGTAAAAGTAATTAGGGTCAGATAAAGCACCCAACATCCTAAAGAATAGTACCGTAAGTCATTACCAAATTCAGTTTATAAGAAGTCCAATTCACATTAGCAGATATCAACATCATGATCGGCATAACAAATGTAAAAATAACAAATAAGAAATAATGCCCATTTTAGACTTCAAATGAACATAATTCCTATTAATAACTGGTCAAATTATCCATTCCTTATTGGCTATCATCATTGCTCTCAAACTAGGCCAATAATGGCAAGAACAAAGCATTAGAATCCAATCCATCATATATTATTTGTGCCAACAATATTCCACAAATAAATGTCATAGAAAATAGCCAATTAAACTTCCATAAAAATTATCTCTAAAGAATTTGTCAAAGAAAAAAAAGTTTCCAGCCATCTTAATAATTAAATTCCAACTATTGAAATCAATTTTGATAGAAAATATAACCGAAAGAGAACCCAATGATAAAATGAATATTAAAGAACTTTTACCACCATACCTCAAGTAATCAACCGACATTATTAACCAAAAACAAAGCAAAACATAACAAACTACCAAACAAATCCAGTTCCCAAAGACATCCATAGAACAATTAATAAAAAACTGAATTTCCATTCAAATAAAGCAATTTTATGATGTCATGTGGCTCATGCTTATAGCTCCAACACTTACTTTTCAATCTGGTAGCTTGAGTATTATTAATACTAATAATATGTTCATCACAATATTTATCCAAAAACTCCCCATTTTTCATTCTTTCCATAAATTAATAACAAAAATATGAGCGAAAAGCAAAAAAGATTATTTTTCAGAATCTTGCAACTTAAAAAATTAGCAAAATCAAAGAACTAAGCAAGATTAAACCCATATGAAAAAATTCTCCAAAAGTTATGCACTTGCTTAGTACTTTAAAAAAGTAAAGGCATTCAAAGTAGAGACTAGAGCGAGATTCATTATAATTCTTTCAAAGCAAACAAGCAAAATGTACCATCAAATTTCTAGCAAATAAATATTATCTAATCTTGAGTTCTTTCACCAAAATTTTCCAAACAAATGAAGCATGCATGTTTCAAAGAATAACCCTTAAACCAAACATAATTGCTCCAAATAGCCCTCATTTGATTCTCATAAAGAAAATCATAGACAAACTTATGAGAATAATTATTTTTTCTTTTCCATAAACTTTCTTAGTGTAAGAAAAAAAAATATGTGAATATATATGTATATGACTAACATTAATTTTTTTTTTACTTTTGATATTACTAATAATTATAAATGAATACATCATTATTTATATAGTAATGATCACTTGTTGGATGATTTTATCAACGGCATACTTTTTTTATCATTTATACAATAATGAACAATATCTTAATTGATGAAATATTTGAATATACATACCTCTCAATTCCTATGTTTTTAAATTTTCATATACATGCACATCTATAATATTTTGGTGTCATAAATTTATGCATGAAAAGATATATTTTAAATTCAAAAAGAAAATAATAATGTATTTTAATTTCTTAAAAAAATTTATAGTCATATTTGTTATGTGATATTAAATATTATAGCGGTATATATGAATGTAAATATACAAATTTGAGAGTTATAACTATGTAAATATATAAGAATGGTATCCATAATAATGTCCCTAATTAAATTTGCACGTGTGACTCAAATCAATCATGGTGTACATTATGCATGACTCTTGCTTAAATTTACTTCACAAGTCCTTTACCCTATATGCAGCAACATACATGTAATACATCTCCATAGAACTAAAGGTAAATTCATATTCTTACAGAAATTATTCCTAATTATATACTTGTAAAGTTACTTAATATTATATTTCATAATATATAATATGAGTCAATAAGTGTATTTTCAGGCATGCATGTGTCACTTGTACTTAGTCTCTCTTTTTTATAATGACCAATTAACAACACAAGCAGTAATAATACATAACAGGACCACATCTGATAAAAACCAACTAATCCTTCTCTTTACACTAACCAGCATCCCTTAATCCATAATTACCACACTAATCATCCTAGCTCATAAACCAATACCACTTAATAAACAAGCCTTAAAACTGGAGCTAATTAGCCAGTTAATCACATTCCAAACAAATCATCTCCCCAACTTAGCCAGTAATTACTGTACATAAAATCATGCTTGAAGATGAAGTATTCCTGCTCTCCTCCTGCGTTAATATCTTTAGCTACTGCTTGCTGGTTCATGGCAGAGAATGAAGGGCTTGAATTCTCCATTGCTTTGCTATTATTTTCATCTCTTTTTGTGTCGATTGATAATCTCTTAATTTCTTCTTCTGTCTCTGATAACTTCTCCTTCAGCTTCAGCACCTGCATTTTTGTCCATTAAAATAATACATAAATGGAAGTTAATGTGATAAAAAAAATGGGAAAATTATCAAAATAGCTCTAGCTATAAAATTATTAATTTAGTACTCATATTTTTTTAGTATGGGCTACAAGTAGGAACATTCTCCTAAAATGGAGGACTATTGTAACCCATTTAAAGTTTGCTATGATAACTAATTTGACAGTTTTATAGATGATAAGTTATCAAAACAACCCACATAAATAATTAGAGATTATTTTGATAATTTAATTAAAAAAAATGAATAATATCATTATATTTTTGAACTCAAGTCTTTTTTTCTTAACGTGAGAGTGTATTTTACTGTCATTTTTGTATGCTTAACTTGTTGCGCCTAATAATTCGAATATCACATCCTACACTCGGGGAATCGAATCCCAAATCAGAGGAGACTTACAACTACAATCAACTGCTCTGAGTACACAACGCAACCCTATATATATATATATAGACTGTGGTTAAAATTGCCTTTTTCTGTTTATTTTTTTGATATTACTACCCCTAAGAATTTTGTAAACATTTTCATACATAAGACTAATGTTCATATATTTGCACTCATATAGGTGTGAATGAAAAATAAAATTTGATAGAAGAGAACCTCTTTCTCAAGCTGGCATTTTTCAATAACAGCCTCATCATTCTCAGACTTGAGCCTCCAGTACTCCTCTTCAATCTTCCTGCTCTTCAACCTGGCTCGCCTGTTCTGAAACCACACTGCAACCTGCTTCGGATCCAGACCCAGCTCCATTGCCAGCGATTCCTTCCTCCTGCACTCCAGCTTCCTTTCCCTCCTAAAACTGAACTCCAATAACTTCACCTGCTCATCACTCAGCCTCCTCTTCCTCCCCTCCACCGCTCTCACCTCCGCCTTCTTCTGCCTTCTCCATCTCCTTCCTCCTATTCCATCATGATACACAGTTGAAAAAAATTAGATTTTGCATAGTCTTAAGTATGACTCATATACCAGATAAAGACAGATGCCCAATAATATGATATAAGGATAATTTGTAAATTACATATTGTACGTCAATGTTATATATATATATATTGTTTGTAACATTAGAACTAATACTGTTTCTCTGAATTGAAGGAAAGCCGCCTCTCTGCTCCCGAAAAAATATACATATTTACCGAATCTCATTAAGTCTCTACCTGTTCTTCTAGTAAAATTATGTTTTGCCTAGAGCTGAAAGTTTTGCAGTTGAGCCTAATGGCTGCTAAAAAATTACAGATCTTTTGAAAAAAAAAACATTCTCTTCTACAATAAACTGAACAAACCTTGAGGAGTGTTATCAGTAAGGCCTGAGCTCATAAGATAAGACTCCACCATCATGATTTTGTCAGAGAAGTAGAGAGAAGGAAGCAAATAGTGAGCTGATTTATAAGAGGGAAAACATAGAGACGTCTGTGAGCTTCCAACTAGTAGCTTACAGGTGTTACTTTTTGCCTTTTTGTTGCTGAGGGGGAAGCTTCCTACTTCACTCTCTCACTGAAACTTCTTCTCTCTTAATTTAGCATTTTTCCTTAATTGTTCAAATTTACATGGCTGTAATGAGCTAAAAATTAGATATAAAAAAAACATTGCATTCATTGAGTGGATAAGGTTAACAGAAAAAAAATGCTAGTTTGGAATCACCATCAATCATCATTACAAAGGTAGGAAGGACATTCAATAATCATATGAAATTATTAGTGTTCTGTGCCCTTGACATAATGCATTTCTTTATTTTTTTATCATTTTTTTAAAGTGCAAATGATAGAAAAATTTTGATCCAATATATAAAAATATATATACACCCCTCAATTTTTATAGATTTACATATCTAATAGCTAAAATTTAAGGTATCATATACATAAAAATTAAAATGAAGGAGTTAGATTTGTAAACAAATAGAGATTGAGGGCGGGTATGGAGCGGCGGTGCAACGATGGTGTGGTGCCGCATCGTAGTTTTTTTAATTTTAGAAAATGATATTTTATGTGTTTTTTCAAAAAATCGTAGTGATAGTTGTACTGGATAAAGTGTGGTGACCGCTAAAAAGTTATTCTCTGATTTTCTTAATTTTTTTTATAGTCATCGTAACTTTTTGAACAACAACTTCTTCTGCAATTACTTTACAGTTGTTTCTTCAAATAGTTGCAGCTGTTACAAATAGATTCCATGTCTTTATGTATGTAAATCTTCCTCTCTCTCTACTCGTCATATACTTATTGTAAGAAAAAACCAAAGATTTTAAGATAAATCTTGTTCAAATTTAAAATTTATTATTAGACCTAGATATTTTTCATGAATATTTTGAACTTTATGAAAATGTGGACATGCTCCATACTATTCTGCCTAAGGTTGCCAGCATCTTAATTTATATTTGAGTGGCATTCAGTTATAGTTGGATGTCAGAATAATAATTGAGTGAGGGCAAGTCTTTGAGGATAAGCAATGAAAGTCATGCATCAGTACGTACATGACTTCTTTCATGTTAATTCAGATAGACTTTTCTAAGGAGCGAGAAATTGATGTCGTGAAGAGTTTGGTTTCCTTAGTCTTCTTTTTTTTTTTTTTTTAATCTTGAAGGTCCATCAACACCACTTCATTATAATTAATATGAGTATTTACATAAATACCCTAACTTAAATTTATATATATATATATATATATATAATATTTCAAAAGAAATGACCGGAGACTATTAGATGAGCCTCAACCACACGTAATGAGTCTAACCACCCGAGTACCAACCTCATAGAAAAAGGGGGATTCGAACCCTAGACTAGAGGAGACTTATAACGCACAAGCCGATGCTCTACACAAACTTTACTTCTTGCTATTGTGGCTCGCGTCTCGCCTGCTACTTTTGCAAAACAGAGGTTAGTGCCCGACAGTGACGCTCCACAGTGCCTGACAGTCTTTTCCAGACCCGTCCCTCCGTCTTCTCACGGATCTCCCTGCCAGAGGCAGGTAAGTCTTTTGCTAGCAGTAGGTTCGTCATAGTTGCCGTCGTTGTGACTTCTATCCAGACACCCTATATTCCGGTTTCCCGTGAGGATCCACTTGCCTCTCAATTATGCAGGAATGCCCAGAGGACTAGGAAAAGCTTGTT